TCTCAGAGGTAGTAGGAACTGCCGATTAGAGAGATTAGTTGAGCAGCCTTTCCCCATCAGGCTTTATTTAACGTAAGATGCAAATGATCTATTTTACAGATGAAATTCTTCCACCTGACTGCTTAGTGTAAAAACAGTGGAAAATTGGTAACTCTTCTGTGACTAAGCAGTTGTAATTTTTTTTATATTAAACTGTGTTTGTGGCATTTCTTACAGAACAGGAGCTTTTGCCAATCTAAACAATCTGTCTTGAGTTTCAAATTGATCTTTGTATTAAGGGATTTTCAAATCGGCTCCTATTTCTCAGAGACTTTTTAAACTGCCTTGTTAATTCAAACAGGGTCATGTATTTTACATCTCAGGAAAGAGTTGCCGAGATTCCTGGATTTTGAAGGTCTCACGCAGATTTGAATCATACCTGTTGGTTAAAACCGAATCAATCACAGTACTGTTTAATTTTAGACTATTGTTTTCTTCAGTCTATAATTGATTAAATTTGTAAAATATGATTGATAAAAGCTTGGTATGGTAATTTGAATTGCAGTCATTTTATATCCCCCAGAACTGTATGTGTTCTATGACTGAAATTAAAGAACAAACATCAAATCAAAAATGTAGGGCATACACCCCATTATGTTGAACACATTCCTTTCCTCTTTGTTGGAGTTGGTGTACACCCAAATAAACTTTATATTGCAACTTTCTCATTCTACACCGTTTTTAGTTTATAGGTTCAAGTGTAATATTATTGATAACTAAAATATCTTCACAGGTATGGACTCCTCGTGGATCCTGTTCAGATTATAGCATTTGCCTTGAGTGACCCCAACACTTGGCCTGGTTCATATTTGATTATTGGTGAGTGACAGCATGGAGATAAAAATAGTGACTGCAGATACTAAACACAGTTTTAATTTCATCGGATTTACTTTTTATCAACCTTTGTAATTCATCCTTTTAAATAGACTTTAATTTTGTCCAGCGAGTTAATGGCAATCAGTGATATTTTTCATAAAAGAGATTATGTAGTCTTTAGCTTGTATTTATATTTCAGCTAAAACGGAAAATATACAATAGAAAAAATTGTTTTGCCTGGGTTGAAATCGCGGAGGAAGTGAACAGCCTTGGTGTCTTGGACTCTGGCACAATGGGAATGATGAACGTTCTCCTCCAAGCTAATTTAGTGTTCATCCCAGAGCCTCATGAAGTTAGCAAAGAGACTTTGCAACTAGGCAGGAAGACCAGGTTGTGAAATAGTCATCTTTAGGACTACGTGGCAAGAGAGGTCAAATCATGTGATAATTATAAGGCAGTTGTGTGTCAGCTATAATGTGTGACCCATGTGTGGCATGGTGAGCTGTCAGGACAAAGGGGGATAAATAGCATTTGACTTGACACTTTGCAGGAAAAAGGGAGACCAACAATGCCAGGGAGTTGGCCAAGATTGGAGGGGTGGTTGCCAATCTCAAAATGCTAACACTTTGTAAAGAGGATGCCTTGGGGATTGAGGTCAAGAAGAATAGACAGTTGGTTGCAGACTGCAAAGTTGGACTAACCAGCCAGCAAAGAGAGGTTTGGCTCCAACCTAGTGTTGAAATATTGGAACATGTGTGACATGCATGAGCTGTGGTTTCCTAATACATTGAGCTTCTTCTTGATATCTATCTTGTTCTCCACTGCAGGTCATTGCCATAGGCAAAGAAGTCTAAAACCCATAGCAAAAACTGATAACTCCACCTCATTGAAGGGCAATAACACTCACTTTCATCTGCCATTCTCCCATTCTCACAGCTCAGTTACATCATGGACGAATTGGGGGCACGTGCTGGCGATTATTTCATCAAACATGTCCCAGCAGCTATGGGAGACTTTCTTACTCCAAGTCCCAGTGCGTGGAAAGACTGCAGGGATTACATATATGTTGAGCTGCAGGCAGATGACAAACCTCTGGTTTCAGCCACAATAAATGCTTCCAGGTTGAGTAAACACTCTTCATCAGCTGTCAGTGACACCAGAGCTCTCAATGCATGAAGTAGAGGAAGATGCAACTGCCTCAGTGCTGGAGACCCCATTACCCCATACAAGTCCTTGTTCCTCCACAGAATATCCACCTGGGCCGTTGCATGCAACCCTGCATCTCATCACTATCACACCAACAGATGGTGGGCAAAAGTGAAACATTTTGAGGGCGAAATGGTAGCACAGATGTTGAGACACAATAAACTTATGCACATAATTATATATTTCATGTTATTATGTTCACTTGATTACTATATGCATCATGTATTTTTCTGGGACATCCTCAGAGCCAATTTGGACTTGATAATTCATTACTGATAATCTTTGCTGAATGAAATACACTGGAGGTCATCTCACCTGCATAGGCAACAATATAGCATTATGTTAGAGGTCAGGCTTTATTGAATGATAATATGTATGGTGTGAATTGTATTCTCAAGGCCATGTGACTCAGCTGCACATGCAGCATCTTCTAGCATCCCCATAAAGAACTTGGCCAGCTGATTGACCATTGATGAGTGCAAGAAGTATAGTGCTGCTCATGGCATTTACATTGTGGACAAGGAGCAGAGAGGTGTCTCATACTGACTTAATAATTTGAATGTCAATGCACCTTAGGGTAAAGACCTTTGCTATTCACCGTATCTATACCCCTCATGACGTCCTACTCTCCAGTGAAAAGAGTCCCAGCCTATCCAGCCTATTTTTATAACTCAAGCCCTCCATTCTCAGAAACATCCTGGTAAAACACTTCTGAACCCTGTCCAGTTTAGTAATATCCTCCCTATAACAAGGTGACTATAAATGCACACAGTACTCCAGAAGAGGCCTCACCAGGGTCCTGTACAACCTCAAAATGACTTTCCAACGCCTATACTCAAAAGGTCTGAGCAATGAGGACAAGCATGCTAAACGCCCTCTTAACCACCCTGTCTACCTGTGGCACAAATTACAAAGAATTATGTGCCTGAACCTGTAAGGCTCTCTGTTCTACACCACTACACAGGGCCCAGACATTAATTTGTAAGTCCTGCCTGTAGTGATTGTAACAAGGTCAGCCAGATAGACCTCGTAGAATAGAAGTTCCCTGATTGGGGCTGTTAATCTGGTCCAATCAGGGACCCCTGGCTAATTGTCTGACACTCTTGTTCACATCTATGTTCACACTGAGAGCTAGCTCTGATGGAGCTGGATCAGTGTCAAGGACTTTCCACATGTAAATAAAGAGTGACTTGGTGATGGGATACCAGCCTCAGTGGAATTAGTTCAGTGGCGATGAAAGAAAAGCAAGCTCCTGAAGAAATTCGCTTGCAACTGTCGCCTTTTTGAGTTGGGGTAAGCATTTCTGGTATCATGCCATTATTTGGGAAGCTTGACTCATTTGATTCTGCCGTCAAAGACTGGAGCCAGAATGTTTAAAGAATGTGTATTTTTTTTCCCGGCAAATGTCATTGGGGCAGATGAAAATCAAAGAGTAATTCCCCTGACTGCTTGTGGCCCCACACCTTTTTCGGTTACTTTCCCTAAGCTACCAGATACTAAAACCTTTCAAGATTTGACCGATTTATTTAAGGGACATCATGACCCCATGCCTCCTCTAACCTATCAATTTTACTCAGCAATTCGAGAACCAGCAGAATCTATAGTGGGATTTTTGACTAGGTTAAGATTGGTGGCAGAGGCATGTGACTTCAGTTTAATCCTTAATGAGATGCTGAGATACCATTTGGTATGCAGGATCTGTGATATAACTATGCAGTTTTATCACTGTTAGTTTTATCACTGGAAAATTCACAAATGGAGCATATGAGTTGCAGGGCATTCTGATGGAAGTGGACTCCCTCGCCAGTCTGACTGAGCTTTGGAACACCACTTGATTGTAGCCAATTGATGCCTCAGTCAAGACAAATCCTGAGCAAAGGGACTCTAGGTCAGCCTAAAGAAAAACTTCAAAACAAAACAAAGCCAAGCCTCAGCCAAATGGTTAAAATTTTCTTCAGGATTCGGGTCAGCAAGCCATTGTGTTTGCTGCTGGTATGCGGACTTGAGGCAGCAAGAGTCCCACTAGACCTAATTTGGGTAAGGGAACTCAGATTGGTTTCCAGGAGAGTGCACACCCTGGAAAGCCCACCTACAATGGTTTGGAACAGTTAAATTGCTTACTAACATCCAAATTGGAACCAGTCAAAGTATAACATCTGGTTAAGTGGTCACTCAGTTCTAATGGATGTCATTAGGGTGGCACAGTGGCTCAGTGGTAAGCAGTGCAGCCTCACAGGGACCCAGGTTTGATTCCACCCTCGGGCAACTGTCTGTATGGAATTTGCATATTCTCCCCAAGTCTGGGTTTCCTCCGGTTTCCTCCCACAGTCCAGAGATGTGCAGGTTAGGTGGATTGGCCATGCTAAATTGCCCATAGGGTCCAGGGATATGCAGGCTTGGTGAATTAGCCATGGGAATTGAAGGGATAATGTAGGGGGCTAGTTCAGAGTGGAATGCTCTTTGGAGGATTGGTATGGACTTGATGGGCTGAATGACCTGCTTCTGCACTGGAAGGATTCTAGGAATCTATGAATTCTATGACAGGACAAGTGCAGTGCTGGTTTTACACATTTTAAGGATGGCACAGTGGCTTAGTGGTTAGCATTGCTATCTCACAGCACCAAGGACCTGGGTTCGGTTCCACCTCAGGCGACTGTCTGTGTGGAGTTTGCACATTCTCCCTGTGTCTGTATGGGTTTCCTCCAGGTGCTCTGGTTTCCTCCCACAGTCCAAAGATGTGCAGGGCAAGTAGATTGGACATGCTAAATTGTCCATAGTGTTCAAGGATGCTTAGGTTAGGTGGGTTAGATGTGGGAAATGCAGGGGTAGGGGAATGGGTCTGGGTGGGATGCTCTTCGGAGGAGCAGTGTGGACTTGTTGGGCCAAATGGCTTGTTTCCACACTGTAGGAATTCTGTGATTCTATGTCACACCAGTGCGGCTATTTCAGTGATTGCAGAACCAGTCTTTAACAAAATTTGCTCTGGACTGCAACCCTTAAGTTTGTGCGAGACCTCAATTAGACTGCAAGCCTACACCAAGGAACCTATACAGACTAAGGGTACAACTTTGGTTCCAGCCTCTTAAGAGAATCAGCTGGTTATAGTAAAATGCTCAGGCCCAAGCTGGATGGGGCGAAATTGGTTGAGAACAATTCACCTAGATTGGCTGAATATTTTTCAATGAGAAAATGTGTGCCTGAGTGAAGTCCTAATTAAATACCAGGATGTTTTTCAGAACGGTCTAGGGACTATCAAAGGAGCCAAGGCTGCCTTGCATCTTGACTACGAAACAATTCCACAATTCTGCAAGGCCAGCCCAGTGCCATTTGCCTTACCGGCAAAAGTAGAGGCAGAAATCAGAATTCTGGAAAGCAAAGTAATCATCAAACCAGTCCAGTTTGCGGAATATACAGCACCGGTCATACCGATCATGAAGCCTGATGGTTCAGTTCACTTTTGTGAGGATTTTAACCAATTGATAAACCACTTTTCACAACTGGATAAATACCCAATTCCTTGCATAGAGAATTTATACACAAAGCTGGTGGGGGGCTGTCCTTCTTGAAGCTGGACATGAACCATGCGTACTTGCAGCTACAATTAGATTCCCAGAAGTATGCTATAATTAATACCCACAAGGGTTTGTACCAGTATACAAGACTGCCATTTGGGGTATTATCAGCCTGTGCAATTTTTCAGTGGACGATGGAGAACATTTCACAAGGTCTACCCAAGGTCGCCATTTGTCTAGATTATGTGCTGATAACAGTGAAGACCAATAAGAGTACTTGGAGAA